CTTAATGTTAGTTTTTTTTGAAATTATATGTGATATTTGAAACCATAACAATAGCTGAAATTTGTAAATTGGGTCTAATACATGGCTGGAGACTAAACTCAAGAGAGCATCCACAGAGACTTGAGGAATTACTAAACAGCCGTTGAGGAGACAAAGAAGAATTGGTCAGAGCGGTATGAGGGAAACAAGGATTTTGTAGTACCACTATAATTAGGGGTATAGAGAATTTCAGTAGATAAAAGATTCTGGGTATCAAATGGTGCAGAAAGGTTGAGTACAATAGAGTGAAGTACACATATAGTATTTACTCACTGTACCAAAAATTCAGATGCTTATTCCAGTCCTACCTTTTACTCTTGATTAGCAGAGATGGTGGCAATGGATCAGTGGGAGTTTCCTTTTATTAGTAGTCACTTTCTTTCACTGCCCACCTTTTCCTGTGAAACAATAAAGGATGCTAACTCTGACAGGCCTCTTTGTCTACACATATCAAATTCAGACCCTCCATTAGTGTCACAAGTGTTTGTCCTCCCATAATTGTGAATTCTGTTTTGCAATTTTACAATAAAATTTACATTGACTAGGCAGCTGTCTCCTTCAATAATGGAAGAGAACATGTGCTGTGGACTCCTAGACATGCTGACTGCAGTGTGAGACTCAGATTTAGATTTACTGTGCTTTAAAAAGCAGGCAAATATTGGTTGTCCTGGGTCTCTCTACTTCTCCCTGGCTGATTTATCCATCTATCAGCACATACGCATATGCTGCTTTATACAAGGGCTGACATCCTGTCAGCAATCAATAAATGTGCATTAAAGCCTTCTCTCCCCTTTGAGTCCAGAGGGCACATGAGTCATATGCTCCCTCACGCATGGAAAATGAAAAAATATTAGCTAACATTTGGTAGTTCTCTGTCATTCACATGCATTCGGCACTTGGTTCTCCTGTGAGGCGGTTACCATTAGACTCAGTTTCACAGTGAGGAAACTGAGGATTAAGAAACTAAATGGCTTTCACAGGACCACACAAATAGTAAATAAGTGAAATGGATACAATTCAAACCTGGTTATCTGATTTCAAATCTGCAATCTTGTAAATAAAAGAACAATTACTCCCTTATGACTTTTATATGTATTGCTAAAATAGGGCTTACAGCCATAAGATGCAGAACAATATTCAGAAAACAAAACAAACAGAATGTGTTACTATCTAAGGCCCAGATATAGCTACAGATACAATTAAAGCAACATTAAATGATTCAAGTATAAGTTTATAGGGCACATAGTATCTGGGCATCAGAACCCATGGAGATACAATGCATATATGTGAGCTCAGTACATACACATACACACACGCAAGCACCCCCAAGTGTACAGCACTTCATATTTAGTCAAATAAGTTTAAAAAGCTGTCAGGCTTTGGTGTTTCATGCAGTAG